CCCCAGATGGGAACGACACCCGCCCCGACTCCATCCACCCCAAGGAGCGGTTCCATGAGAGGTTGGTGATGGAGGTCCCTTGGGGTCTTTAAAATGGGATCAACTTCAAGGGGTCCAATAATAGCACAGAGCAAGGCTACTGGCAGGCTGCTCCTCATTTCTCAGGCTGCTAGCCTTTCCACAAAACCTGCCCTAACTCAGTTGTTCTAAATACTAGGTAAGCCATTTGTCTTTACAATCCTGTTTTCTCATCAGTAAATGGAGTTAATTGAACTTGTTTAACTGACCTCAGAGAGCCCTTATGGAGAAAATGATTGGAGAATTATACAGGGTGCTATTAATGAGTTGTTATTATAATTATTATTAGCCTCAGGCAAGGGGGCAGTAGTACCAAGGTCTATCACTAACCACCCTTTCCCCTTGCTTCTTGCCACCAGAGAGACGCATCCAAACGGCACCACAACGTACTTGTAGCACCCACAAGAGCCCAGGATACAGCCTGGACCCCAAGCCACTCAGAAGAAGGGGGACCTTACTCAACACTCCCAATCTGATCCGCATCCCTGCCCACAACCAGCCCCTCCTTCTCTTCCCTGGTGGATCCTGTCCATCCCAGGCAGGAGATTCTGGGAGGATGGCACTGAGGGCAGGCAGGGGAGAGGGAGAAGAGGAAGTAGAAGGGGAGCCTTCGTCTTCTCCCTCTTCCCATCCTGGCCTTGAAACACGTCACTTCTCCCAGGGCTCCTGTGGCCTCTCCTCGGTGGGGTCCATTCTCGCCCATCACCACTACAACTGAATTGTCCACTCGTGAGGAGCTCTCAATTTCCTCTCCTCCCTCCATCCCTGGTTCAGCCTTGATGCTCCCTCCCTCCTAGCCCCAGGGACCCTGTCCTTCGGGCCAGAGGGGACAGGCATAAACCCTCCCTCTGGGGCTGGATTATACATAAGCATCGTCATCACATTCCCCAGCCCCCTCCCTCTCCCTTCTCATCCCTCATCCTTCATCTCAGCCCTCTAGGTGGAAGGAAGTTGGAAAGTGTCCATCCCTTCCCTCTCTTAGGCCACTTTCTCTCCCAGGGTAGCACCCCAAATCCACCAGGGGAGGGGGAGGGGAAGCCTGCCTAGAGAGTTCTGGCCTTGGAGATGGAATGGGACGAGAGAGGTCCCTGCCCCCCCCCCCCCCCGGCCGCCTCCTGGAGGACTCTTGGGCAAAGCTGTTCCCTCAGATAAGGGAGGAACTTTTCCTAGGACTTCTCCAGGTACTGATGCCCTTCTCCCCCCCCCCATTTCTTTCTTTATCATCCCTCCCAGAGATACCACTGGGCTGTCCCTCCCCACCCCCCTTGGCCTAACAAACCACTGTGCCATCAGTCCTCCCAATCCCAGGACAAGGGTCGGGCCAGGCCCCGCTGCCCCCCACTACTGTACAGAGACCAAGAGCAGAAATTGTTTGTAAATAATGAACCTTATTTTTTATTACTGCCAATTCCCTAAGATATTGTATTTTAGAAGCCACTCCCCCCCATGCCCCATTTCCTCCCCACCCCTTTTTTCCGTTTTGTATTTTATGAAGTTAGTGCGGGCTTAGCTACTCCTCCCTCCCTGGAGGCTGGGGGGAGGGGGACTCACTCCCCTCTCCCCCCTCCCCTGGCCTCCCCACGCTGCCCAACTGCTGGGCTTTTTTAATGGCCTCCCTCCCCACTCCATCAGCTGAGCGCACGCTTTAGAGAAGCAAAATTAAAACCAAAAAAAAGATTCAGCATCAACCTCTTGCCCACGTGCTTTTCTCTCTTTGGGGTTATTGGGGGAGAAGCAAAGGGTGGCGGGAAGGGGAATTAGTCCAGCTTTGAGTCAAGGCCTGCCCTTACCCAGGCTGCCCCCAAGGGCCACCCAGGCTTGCTTAATCAACAAGTATTTATTAAGCTCCTGCTAAGTGCTGGGTATACATGGATACAGGTGTGTATGCACAGGTCCCTCACCTTAGAGGAGTTTCTAGTTTAGCCTGGAAGTCAGTTCAATTCAACAACCATTGAATGAATGAATGCATGAATGAATGAATGAATGAAAACACATTTATTTATTGGCCTTAGACCTGACACTTACTAGCTGTGTGACCCTGGGCAAGTCACTTAACCCCAATTGCCTTTAAAAAAAAAAAAAAGATGTGCTGAGAATGTTGGAGAGACCTAGGGAAAGTCCCGGGAGACAATTGAGGATCACAAGGCCATTTTCCCTTGGGACTGAGAGGGGGATGGGTTCCAGGGAAAGCTTCATGGCAAAAATGGTGCCTAGCTTGGGCCTTGGAGAGAGAGAGAGAGATAGACATCAACAACAGTTAAAGAAATAGACTTGGGGAAACACCTCTATGTTAAGTAAACTTGTGAGAGTTCTAAGGAAGCAATCATCATTTCTAGCCAGAGTGGTCAGGGAAAGCATCACAGGGTAGATGACATTTAAGTTGGGTTTTAAGGGACAAGTGAAAATTAAGATATCTGTGGCAGGCAAGTATAAAATTTGGGGAAACAGCCCAAGCAAAGGTGAAGAGGTGGGAAAACTTAAGGGAGTGTCAATAAGTACAATGAGGAGCAAGTAGTCTGACCCTAAGGATGGGAAAGTAGATTAAGGCCATATGGCCTTGAATGCCATGGTAAACAGTTTAGACTCAACTCTGCAGATAGTGAGGAGTCATTAGATCTATAGAGGAGTAATGAGTTAAGGATGGGAAAGTAAACTAAAGCCTTGAATGCCAGAGTGAATAGTTTAGACTTAACTCTGTAGACATTGGAGAACTACTGGGGTCTAGAGGAAAGTAATGAGCTAAGGATGGGAAGGCCATATTATGGCCTTGAATGCTACGGTAAATAGTTTAGACTTGACTCTGTAGACAATGGAAAGCCATTGGGTTGTTGAGGGGTGTAATAAGCTAAGGATGGGAAAGTAGATTAAGGCCTTGAGTGCCAGGCTGAATAGTTTGGACTAGGCTCTAAAGACAGAGGGGAGCCACTGAAGACTCCCTGACCCTACACCCCTTGAGGGAAGCACAACACAGCATCTGGTCAGGCAGCCACAAAGAATAACAATTAACAGCCTGGAATTCTTTTTTTCTCAGGAGAAATAAACTGGTCCATTGGTCAACCAACCATATTGATGGTTGAGGAGGGCAAGGGTGTGGAGTGCCTGTATTATGGGAATATGTCACCTAAATCTGCCTAAAGATAACAAATAACATTTGACACATCCAGTGCAGAGGAAAGAATGATGGACTTGGAATCCAAGGACCTGGGTTTGAATCCTGGCCCTCCTGCTTACTGCCTATGTGACCTTAGCCAAATCAGTTAACATTTCTGTGCCTCAGTTTCCTCATCTATAAACTGAGGAGGTTGGACCAAACCATCTCTGAGGTCCCTTCCATCTCAAGGTCTGTGATCCTATAATCCCTCCCCTGATGCTAGATTCTACCAGAGGTTTCATCCAGACCTCACTTTCATCCATCAACAATCATTTATTAGGCACCTACTGTGTGCCACACACTAGGTATACAAAGAATGAAACAAGCCCTACCCTCAAAGTACTTAAAATGTCCTCCCAGGCCCTGAAGCAGTTTCGCCTCTCTTTGCCCACCTCTAGCAAGTCCTGGCCATGCGGAGGGAGCTGGAGTCTCATTAAGACTAAGGTAAATCACGCTCACCACTTTGGGAGGATCCAGGAGCTGAGATATCAGTTCTGGGGCCCAGGGAACATTACATCCTATTCCTGTTATGTTGGTTAAGCTCCTATAGGCAAGGAATTAAGATCACTCTTGTAGGGGAAAAATCTGGCTGACAAGCAGCTGGAACACCAGCTTCTGACCTGCTGAGGCAACATGGTGGAGGGGAAAGTATTGAGTGTGAAGTTGAAGGACCCGAGTTCAAATCCTGTCCTTCCTACTGTGTAATACTGGGCAGATCACTTCATCTTCCTAGGCCTCAGTTTATCCAGCTGTAGAATGAGAGGATTGGACCAGATGATGCCTTGAGTCCTTTCTAGCTCTAGAATTATGATCCTATGTTGCAGTTATTCATTCAATATTCAACATGCATTTGTTAAGCACCTACTATATGCCAGGTACTACATTAGGCAGTGGGGGGAAAAGGCAAAAAGAAAAAAAATAGATTAATCTCTGACTGCAAGGAACTTATCTTTTTCTGGAGAGGAAATAACATGTCCCATATACTCTACAGACAAAGTCGTTCCTGGGTGGGAGAGGGGCTACCTGGGAGGGAGATGAGGAAATGCCTTGTGTAGGAAGAATCCAGCTGAACCTTGAAGGGAGGTGAGGTTGCAGGCATGCCCAATTTGGAGAACAGCCTGGGCCAAAGCCTGTGGGGCAGGAGATCGAACGTCACATACAGGGAACACGTTGTTGAGATTGGCTGGAATGTGACGTGCATGAAGGGGAGAGGAGGAAAAATTAGGCTCTGCCGGCAGGATGGAGCCAGACTGGGAAGGCCTTTAAATGCCAACCAGGAGGTTTGCATTTGATCCTAGAGCCAAGGGGGAGCTCTCATCAGAACTTCTTGGGGGTAGAGTGGCATGTGTTGGACATGCTTAGACCTCATCTGTGACCAAGGGGTCATGAAAAGAGGCCTGGCTCTGAAGTCAGAGGCCTGGGGCTCTAATCCTGGCCCTGTGACCCTGGGCAAGTCATTAAACCTTGACAGACTGCAAGCTCCTCATCTGTAAAATAAGGGTGTTGAATTAATCCTCTCAGATGTTCAGAGTCAGGACTCTCCAAGTGGCCATGGCTTAAGCATCTGTGGATGCTTGCCTTACTTACCCAGGCTTATACAGCAGGGTAGGAGACTGGCAGCACCCGACCTAGGATCAGCACTTGATGTCACAATGACTTGACTTCCTGGACTCCTGAACCTTGGCTGCCCTGACCTCTGAGGCCTAGTTCCTCCCTCCCACTCTGTCTCCTGACCACCATCACCCACAGACTCCCTGTCTAGATCTCCGAGTCCCTGATTCATGTCAGATGTCAGTTGCCCAATTCTCTCCCAACCTGGCCCTGCTGCTGCTGCCCTGGTGTGATGTCGACCTTAATCACCCAAAGGATTTTTGGTCAACTCAACAGTAGGGATGTTTAGCCTGAAGAAGAGAAGATTTAGGGGAAGATAGTAATAAATAAGCAATAAATAGTAATAAAGATAAAATAAAAATACTAATTTAAAAAACTTAATAAATGCTCTCTGACTGACTATATACAGAGGTGGAATAGAGTACCTCCGGAAGGAAGGAAACAGGAATGTATTAAGCACCTGCTATGTGCTTTATAAATATTGCCTCATTTAATTCTCACAACAACCCTGGAAGGCAGATGCTATTATTATCCCCATCTAAAAGATGAGGAAACTAAGGTAAAGTGACTTGCCTAGGGTCATCCATCAAGGAAGTGGATTTGAACTCAGGTCTTTCTGACTCCAGGCCCAGGCACTAGCTGCCTAGGAGATAGTGGGCCCCTCATCACCAGAGGGAGGGAGGTTTTCTAACCATTTGAAGTATCCCAAGAGAGTAGTGGACAAAGAACTGAACTTCCAGTTAGAAAGACCTGGGTTCAAGTCCAGCCTCAGACACATCCAGGCTATGTGACCCTGGGCAAGTCACAATCCTTTCACAGTTCCAAGTAACTCTCTGAGTTCTTAAGTGGCAGAGCAGGTAGAGATTTTCCTTCCTGGAAAGTCCATTGTACCAATGGAATAACACCAAAAAAACTTTAAAAAGAGCCATCCGATGGTGAAAGGGACTCCCTCTAGAGGCAGTGAACACCCCTTCACTGGAAGCCTTCAGGTGGAGTCTGGAGAGAACATTAGAAGGATCCACAGGAGAATGAGACTGTCTCACTTGGTCATGTGTTTCCCAGCCCTGGAGGTCTGGGCAGCAACTGGTCAGGAATGGCATCTGCCGCATTCTTGTCAAATCACATATGGCCAGTGAGATCCTCGGGCCATAGAGTCAGACCTAGAAAGGACCTCCGAGGTCACCTTGTGCACCCACTCATCCTACAGATGAGGGAACTGAGGGGAAGTCAGTTACTGCCAGAGACTTCTAGGCTAGAGTCAGGAAGACCTGCCTCAGATACTTAGTGACCTTGTGACCCTGGACAAGTCACTTAACCATTCCTAGCCTCAGTTTCCTCATCTGTAAAATGGGAGTCATAATAGCATCCCACTTCACAGGATTGTTGTAAGGGTCCATTGAGATGAGGCTCTTTGCCAAGCGCAAAGCTCTATGTCAGTGCTAGTTGGAATGGGATGTCAGAGGCCCTCTAAGCCATTGTCCTCAATATTATCTGCCAGGGTCCCACAGCTAGTAAGCGTCTCTATCTCTGAATTTCTATGATTCTCCCTTCTGAAGCTACCCTCTCCTGTCCCTCCCTCATATGTGTCCCTGGAATCTTTTCTACCCAGAACAGAATCAGCTGATTCATTGGGTCTGGTCTGTTGGCCAGAACCCCACCTCTGTTGATCACTGCTCGCTCCTGAACATCTCAGAGCTGCTTCCTTCCGGCCTGTTCTGGGCCTGGCCTTCAGTACTACACTAGTTGGGGGCAGTGGACTGCAGGCCCCACTGTTGACATGCAACCTCAGCTGCTTTTGTTCTAGTGTGGGGACCCATGCACAGCTGCAGAGGTGGCATCATCTCCAATTACAGGCCCTGTGGTTCTGTACTCACCAGGCTCTGTCACCCTTACAGGCAGGTGACTGTTCTTTAAATGCCAGGCATC